ATCTTTCTTGATCGGTTATTCGCTCGCGATCTTTCTTGATCGATTTTTTGCTCGCGATCTTTCTTTCTCACGCTCGATGTTTTGCTCGCCCGCACTCGCTCTTCTTTTACTACATAGTAAGCTAAACACTGCGACGACGTGAATCAACGTGGCTGCCGTCCCGTCTAATGAGAATGATCCCAAGATTATATATACTTCTCCATGAATTCGTGTAAAAAAACAAAAACAAAAGAAACAAACATTCGTGCTTTTCTGGTGAAATTTGGGCGTTTCCGACGCAAGATTGCATAGGCGAGAAAGTCTAAATTAATGTACGCAACTCGTACAAAAGCATATTTGGCGTACTCTTCTCTAAATTCGGAACATACCTCATCTCGTCGCCTCGTCCGTTAACATTTCATTTGTACGCCGAAGACTCGCTTCATGTTTCAGTTTTGTAAATAAGCATTTCGAAAGTAAGAACTTTTAGAACTTACGAAACACCTACGACCCAACTACATAACTACGAATTTTTTCTCAATGACGGACCCTGTACTGACGATGGAAATTAACAGCATGTGCGTTTGACGTGGTCATTTCAAAACTGTGTACTAGACAAATCATCGCCTCGTCAGTCTACATTTCTTTCGTATGCCAATCATCCACTTCCCGCACTAGTTAGGTAAATAACCATTTCAACAATCCGACACAACCTACGTCCCCAATTAGTTACGATCTACTGTGAATTGACTTGATACTTTATTTCACGTGGCGAGACTCGGGCCAGCAAGCCCGCTCTTCTGCCTGACCACGCGAATTTCGCTACGCTCCTTTCAGAAAGGAGTATTTCTTGGGCGACCAACGGGCGATTTGAATTTAGCTCAGAGGCTACGTCATTACGGCTTGAGGATCTTTTACATACAAGTAAATCTACTAACATGGGAAAGCCGGCTTTACTTCCCCTCCGAAGGATTCTTTTTTCGCCCTTCAATGGCTTGGATCGGTTTTGAACCCGCCAACTGGGGTACAACAGTCCGATAAGCTAACCGCTACAGTGAATGGCCTGTAGCTGACGGCGTGCGCGTGCGCGTGTTCGTGTTCCAGGCGACGACTGCTCGCGTGCGGAGTCGCCTCCGTCGAAGGCGGTGGCGGTGGCGGCGGCGTCTGACGACGGCAAGTCGCAGCTGCAGCAGCAGCAGCAGCAGCAGAAGGACTCGGCCTACTACGAGCGACGGCGCCGCAACAACGAGGCGGCCAAGCGCTCCCGGGACGCGCGCCGCGCCAAGGAGGACGAGGTGGCCATCCGCGCCGCCTTCCTCGAGCAGGTGAGCGCGTCCGCGCACCGCAAGCGAAATCAAGACTCTAACCCGCAAGGAAATTCAAGACCACAACCAAAACTTAACCCATGTGTAAAGAGTTTGGCCCAAATATGCAAATAGTTTGGCCCAAATATGCAAATAGTTTGGCCCAAATATGTAAATAGTTTGGCCCAAATACGTAAATAGTTTGGCCCAAATACGTAAATAGTTTGGCCCAAATACGTAAATAGTTTGGCCCAAATATGTAAATTGTTTGGCCCGAATATGTAAATTGTTTGGCCCAAATATGTAAATTGTTTGGCCCAAATATGTAAATAGTTTGGCCCAAATATGCAAATAGTTTGGCCCAAATATGCAAATAGTTTGGCCCAAATATGCAAATTGTTTGGCCCGAATATGTAAATTGTTTGGCCGGAATATGTGATTTGCGGACCGGAATGAAGAAGTGTTTGAACTATATGTAACATCATTCTAGTCCGCAATTTACATATGGGTTAAACACTTTTCCATTCTAGTCCGCAAAAGTGTTTGACCCATATGTAAATTCGAACCACAAGGAAAATGACTTTAACCCGTATGTAAATTGCGGACCAGAATGAAGTGTTTAAACAATATGTAAATTGCGGACAGACCCAGAGAAGGGCATACGTAAATTGCGGATCAACTACTTCATCCAAGTGGAAGGCCACACTTTATTTTCGAAGAACATTTTCATACCCATTTGTTTTATAACACAACTCCTCAATTTTTCAGACTAAAAGACTAGCATATTTCCTTCGAAATATGCTTTGGTTAAAGTTGGTTTGCAGTCAATTAAATCATTTGTTGATGGAAAGAAAAGCAGAATTCTTTAAATTTTATAGTTATATTTTTCATCTGATATGCTATATCACTGAACTTGAAATTTGGACACACTTTGCGTGCTTTCCTTTTCATTTTCATATAGGAGAGTGTCTGGAAAATGTTCAATAAGGCACAAGGAAAGTTGGATAGCAGCGCGGTACTCCCCCTAACGCGTTTACCTACTCAATTTGTCCTTTCCGTTACCTGGTTTGGTTTGGTTCGCAATTTACGCACTTTCTCTTCGCCACGCGATGAACATCCGGTGATGCCTTTTAAGGTGGTTCCTCACATTCGGTATAAGAGTAGCATAAGACTAATCACAAGTAGATTCGACGATTTGCTTTCCGTTTGTCGGGCGACCAACATTCGGCGCTCGCCCTGCCCACCCACAGTCGTCCGCACGCATCTAAGGTCGCGAATATTCGCCGAGCAGTCGGTCGCAACGTGACGAATGCCGAATGTGTGGCGCCGCCTTTAGGACACATTAAAGGGAGCGAACATTCGCCGAGCACATCAGCTGCTCAGGATTGGGCGGGCAGTATTAGGGTGCCATAAGGCGGCTCCACACATTCAGCATTCGTCTAGCAGCGAGCTACTGATGTTCGGCGAATCCCGAACAGCTGATGTGTTCGGCGAATGTTCGCTCCCTTTGATGTATTCTTAAGACCTATACGCGGTGGATAGGGCGACTACCGAACGTTCGGCGCTCGGCGAATCGAAAGCAACCCGTCCACACTACTCGGGATTGGGCGAGTAGTCGCTCGTACCTCGGCGTACGCCGAATGTGAGGAGCCGCCTTTAGGACACGTCAAAGGGAGCGAACATTCGTCGAGCACATCCGCAGCTCGGGAGTGGGTTCGCAACTCGGCGTACGCCGAATGTGTGGAGCCGCATAGAGGTTGATACAACGTCCCCTCTACGCACGCCTGCGGCGGTGAGTAACGGAGGTCCTCGTCGTGTGTGTCCTCAGGAAAACTTGGAGCTGCGTTTCGAGCTGAGCACGCTCAGGGCCCACGCCTTGCGATGGCAGCAAATGCACCCGCATATTCAGCTCGACCAGCAGCTGCTACCGCCGCCGCCGCAGCTACAGCAGCACCAACTGCCGCAACAAATCCTCCCGCCCGTCAACCCACGCGCCCACCCACAAATGTGAGTACTATTTTTCACGCATGAACTGGCTGGGATATCCTCTAGGTTAGAGTCCCGACGGTGGCAGGGTTTTCGACAGCTAGGTCAAATTCAGTCTGTCTGGAGGAGAATTCTAGCGGCCGGCTGCTCTAATAGGTAGTTTTCCGTGACTTCCCGATCAACACCACGCGAATACCGGAGCAGTACCTTAACAAACGGGCCACGGACCGCGCGCGATCTTTCCTTCCTCTTCCTTGTCCTATCCTCACGCCCTTACACTACATGCACTACACTACCACATATGCCGGGAGACCGGTCGGGGCGCTTAGAGATTCTTCCAGCTGGGACGGTAACCCGCTTGTGGGAGATAAAAAGCGCTAGCCGACGGTATGTCGGCGCCGGATCTCGCCATACTGCGAGGGAAGACCACCGCCACAGACCGAACAATAAACATGCACTACACTTTCGGGACTAATGACTCTAGTATTGACGCGCCCGTACACTAGTAATCAATCAATACACACATGCACAAATGTGTGGTTCACACAGAAATAAGCAAAAAGCACAGAGTTTGCACAATTCGACTGCATTTTTTTCTGGATTAACTTCTCGCCACATAAAATAAGGCTTAAATTCAACTTTTATTTCTGAACAAATGTATTAATTTCTTTTATAAATAATAAACAATTTGCATGTTTCTGGAGTGATTATATGCTTCTGCTATGCAAATTTTTTCATAGGCATTGTTTTTGAAACCTTTTTGAGATATTTTTTAGGCTGACATTCGGAATATCCGAGAAGTATATTAAATAGCATATTTAAAATATGCTTAAAATGGTCTTAAGGGCTTATTTTCGAAGTTTCGAAGTTTCCATCTCTGACATCCTACATAAGTGTTAAAAACAGAACTATTAGGTGCCAATTGTGCCTCACCGCTACTGGGGACTGACGGTACAGCCTACTGACGGTCAGCAATTTTTATCAGTGACAGGCCAAAAATTAATGATCATGGTGCATCTACTGACATTACAAATGCAAAAATTAAATAATTTTAATACTGTATTAATCATTTCTAAATTTTGCAAGGACACACTGACAATTCTGAAGAAGACTCTGAAAAACATGTAGCACTAATTATAATACCACTAATATGACCTAATTTTCATGGTACCTAGGCCGGTTGTATGTCATTGAATTGTATTAGTGTAATTTTTTTCTGTATAACTGATAAACATATTATTTTTGTTTTTTACAGGGCTGTCTGCTGGCCCTCATCCAATGCCTGAATTCTGCAGGTAGTCATTATGTATATGCAAACAAAACTTGAGGCAAGAATAAGAACAATACAAGCTAAAATATTACATATTTTATCATAAAATACAATTTTAATTAGTGTAGAAAATAATCAGAAACTTGTCAGAGCTCATTTGTCAAGACCAACCGCAAAAGCACGGGTCTACAGTGTTCATACTGGAAATAAGATAAAAGAACTTGTGCAGTAGATGCCATACTTTTGTTTTTTGAGGAAAAGCTTTGGAATTAGAAGTGATTATTTTCACAGGTTTTATACGGAGAAGGAAGAGTTTTTGTAAATCCAGACATGCCTCAGTTTGCGTATACCTTATTGCTGTTTTCTATATACATACTGAAGAAAATATGTTCATACATCAATTATGTTATTTTGTTGTTGTTGTTGCCTTTTTTCTGTGAGACAATTTCATGACATTCTAGAAATGTGAAATTAGGGCTCTCAGTACGTTACTTGCCACTATTAAATTGTGTTATCAACTTAATAACACATCTTACTGTATTCAAAACATATACTCTGTATTTTATTTTCTTTTTGCTTTGTCATCTTGGCTCAGTGGCATGATTTGAGATCTCCTTGCCTGTTTAAAAAGATTGAGACTAACAGCACATCTATTGCTATGGGAATGTAGATTCAAAGAAAGACTAGAAAGTGTATCCTATCTGTAAAAGACATTGACTGACTTCACAATTTGATACTTCTAAATGTCTCTGCGACTATGAAGCTTATTTAATTATTTATTTATTTATTCACGCATTCATTCATTCATTTAACGCAAAGTAACAAAAAAGAATTACACTTCATGGATGAAGGATGGGATGAAGAATTGTGAGAGTTTTCTGGGGCTCCAGAATCCCCAACTTCAATGTTTTACTTTAACGTAGGAATAGTGAGAACTTTGAGAATGATTATTTAATGGTACTGCTTGTGAAAGCATACTTAGTTTAGTTTTCATTATCTGAAATACTTCCCGCTAACGTCAATATCTGAAGGCATTCAGACTGTAACACAGTTATTAAATATTTTAAAAACTGATGGTAGGAAAAAATTGCACTGAAAAATGAGGACATTTGAATCTGCACTTCATCAGACTTTTAAAGTACCTTTTTTTATATACATTGTACATATTGTCAATATTTTGCATTCTTCTTTCACTCTTTTTCATTCTTCATTTTACGACTGAGCTAAGTTTTTAAAGGCAAGTTCAAATATCCATGTATTTCTGTATTTGTTATATTTTGAAGAGGGGAAAAAAAAGAAAAAGGAAAAAAAAAAAAAAAGAACTTTCATCAGTTGCAAAATATTTATCTAGTGATCGGCAACTTTTGTTCAGTTCATGGTCATCTTGTCACCACCTCATGAATAGATCATTTCCAAACTTCGACAGGAACTTGATTTATTTGGATTTGTGGCAATGACATTGCATTTAGTCTTGTTAAAAGATTAGAAAGGAAAGTTCAGAAGTGTGCTAATAATAAGTAATTGATGATACGCACACCTGTGATGTACTCCTTTACATAAATGATGCATTTGTAAATTTGTGAGATATATATTACATTACTGGGTATTGTCACTGAAAACTTGTAGCAAAATGTATCTAGTCAACAAGTTGTCCATGACAAGACTGATTTTCTGAATAATTTTTAGCATATACTAATCATAGCAAATAAAGGGATTTATTTAAGATTTCCCCATTTCTTTATGAATTAAAGATGTATTTCTGAATAGAATTTTAAGGTTATCTGCTCAAATAATTCTATATTGTGGAAAGTATCATAAACGTCAAATGTGAAATGTGTATAAGAGTCGTCAAGACAAGGTATATATTAATTAAAGTGAATATGTCCTCTATATGTATATCGCAAGGGGTAAAAATTGAATATACAAAAATTTAAAATCTTGATTCTCACAAGATAATACATTCATTTTGTGATATTGTAAATACATAACAATATATTCTGAAAAGATATTTTCATATTTGTGTACATGTGCTATAAACTGATTTTATAATAATGTTAACTAAACATTGTATAAAACATTGTTGTTGTTTTAATAAAAGTACTATCAGAAATTAGTTATTTTACTAAAACCCCAAACAATTTTCCTCTCTTTATTCTACATTTCAGTCTCAAGAAAATTTGATGTAATTTTTAACTGATTGGTTATTAATAAAGATTGTGTTAATTAAAACTAAATAGTTTGAAAAAGAGGAATGGGGGTGACCTAGAGTGGAAAATTTTATAACTTGAAACCGAATTACAATTCAAAAACTATGCACAGATGAAAAGGATAGAGGACAGAATAACATGGCGACAGCAACTAGGAACTTTTTGGCCTTTAGGAGGATGAATAATTAAAAATTTATTCTATATTCATAAATGTCTTGCATACACCAATAATTTTAAACACTTCTTTTGATAAGAGCACACTTCAATGTAAATGGAAAGCTTGGAGTCCAATCACTGTGGATCATCATTTAGGAACATTATTTTTATCTGTTAATTTCATAAGGTTTTGCTTCAATTTTTAATGTCTGCTATATCACATTGGGATATTGCAGACATACAAATAAGAAAGCTGGTACTATGGTAGTTCACTATATTGCTAGAAATCTTCGAGATCAAACGATACAATTTCAATAATAGAATTTATAGTTTTCTTTGCAGCAGGGATATTACTTTGGTCTTGAACCAGTGGTGAAAACTTCCCTATATTCCATACTTAATGGCATTTGGTCATCTCACACCTTGAAAACTGAGAATAGTAGTACCGCATTGAAATAGTTATGGCAGCAAACAAATAAATATAATAATTTTCTTGTCATGAAAAGAAATTCTGTGATTAGATTCTGTGAGTGTAACGAATGAATGAACAAACAAACGATAAAAACCATTACTGCATAAGCTAAAATATCTAGAGAGCGTCTGAGGGTAAGACTGAAGTATAGGGTTTTATGGTTTTTTTCCAGTAAATAAACATCCTCCCCGTTTTTAAGATTTCAAAACTGTTTTAAATACTCATTAATAAAATTTTTCATCACAAGAATTACATTCGTGCAATAATTTCCCGAATACATTATATATTTACAATAAATTGTGGTGAATATCTTTAGAATTTATTAATTTTTGTAGGAAGATGATACTTTGTTGTTGGATCAGCCATAGCTGCTGTGCCATGTGCTTCGGTTGCCATATCATACTGTGCTCAGAAAGTTCGAGTTCCAGTTGTTTGCCTGGGCTTGTTCACTTGTTTTGATTTTAAGATTTATAGTCAATCACGTCAAAGTTAAATGTAATTTCGTTTACTTTTCTTTATTTTGGTTTTTAGGTTGTGGTAAACATATTAATTTACAATTTAAAAAAAATTAATTTCGGGTGCTTTGCACACTTAATTTAGAATGTGTGAGCAACCAACTGTAAAGCGCCAGAGTGGTAAAGTACTCCATACTGGGGAAAAACAATTTGTTATTAATGCTTATAATCTATTAAACTATTCATTTTCGAATGGGATTCCTGCTCACTAGCCACTGGGAGATAACTGTCCGCTCTCCCAGCGCAAGGCATCTCGGCTTCCTGTGAATCAAATCAGTTCGTTCCCATTTCGTCCAACATATTTTGTCGTCAAAGGAATATTGTAATTATTTGCGTGGTAATGAAAACTTATTATTTTTCTATTGTGAAAAAGAAAACAAGAGCTTTGGCGTCTTTGCAACTGATTTTTGTTGGCTTAAACTTTGAATATTGTATTGAAACAGTGGTGCACTTCAAAATTAATTTCTTTCTGATTTCTTACGACATTTCGAAGTTCAAAGATGGGAGGAGCTTAACAGCAACGTTTCCTGTCTATCGAAGCCTCATAGGAATATTTTTAGATATGAAGAAATGGAAGATAATAAGCTTTCATAAAATCGGAAAGGTTCCAGACAAAATACTTTAAGAGCTACACCAGCGCTCCTCACAATTGCGAGATTCGTCACCAACGAGCGCGTAACTTTCGCTTCATACAGTACAGCAGAAAAGCGCCACGTTTGGCATCACTGTTGTCATAAGACACGTCATTCTTAACTTAAGACGCGCCATAGCATACAAGTTGTGGATTGAGAGAGAGAAGGGAGAGCGAGAGAAAAAGAAGAGAGAGGGAGCCCTAGCACTGTCATGCGGCAGATCATGTGAAACTCTTCTTCTCTTCTCTTCTTCATCTTCTTCTCATTTTTCTTCTTCTCCTTTTCCTGCTGCTTCTTCTTCTCCTTTTCCTGCTGCTTCTTCTTCTCCTTTTCTTGCTTCTTCTTCTCCTTTTCTTGCTTCTTCTTCTCCTTTTCTTGCTTCTTCTTCTTCTTCTCCTTTTCTTGCTTCTTCTTCTTCTTCTTCTTCTCCTTTTCCTGCTTCTCCTTTTCCTGCTTCTTCTTCTTTTCCTTTTTCTTCTTCTTCTCCTTTTTCTCCTTGTTCTACTCTTTTCTCCTCGCTAAGCACGGCCGTGATGCAACATCCTTGCATCATGCAAAGAATGAATTCATCAACCGACTAAGCGCCAATTTCAGAAAATCAACAATCTTAACGTTTCTTGGGTGTTTGATGATGAACTAGTCCCGCGCAAAAACAATCAGCCATTCAATTTTCAAACGCCGTTAATTTTTTTATGAATTGTGGACAGCGACCGTAAGTTAACGATTAAACTTCAAACACGCTTTTCTCGGAAAGTCGCTTGGTCGGTTTGATGCACAACCCTGGTCAGCACCGAGTTCACTACGGCCTAGCGCACAGCCATCGACAGCAAATATATCTTCTGCGCATGCGCTAATGCTCAACGAGGCCGAGCAACTCCAACTGCGCACGCGCAAAAGATTGCTGTCGACTGCCGAACTGTGCGCAGTGTTTCAATTCCCTCGAAATGATAAGACGCGTCTTCGCGGAGGGGGGGGGGGGGG